GAAATGTGGGCACGAGGTCAGCTGGGAGGGGTGTTCATGGGGGATGAGATTGAAGGCAGATGTTTGGTCCAGATGTGAAGAGCCAGGTGCCAACCCAAGGAGTTTTGACAGGATTCTGTAGGCAACACGAGGCTGTAGGAGGTGTGTAGGGGAGTGATATTATCAGATCTGTGTTTACAAAGATTCCTCAGGCACTTATGTTATATATAAGTTAGAGCAGAGAACAGTTTTGCAGTTTTCCAGGCAAGAAATAACTGGGCCCTGAACTAAGATATGGGCAAATACAGATGGAGAGATGGGGAAGGATTCATGAGCGAGATCAGAGGAAGAAAGGCTATAAAATATTGGGAGATAACTGCATGTTCTCAAAGAATTTTAGAGTCCTATTGAGTCACCTACTCCATCTCTATTTCACAGGTAAGAAAACTTCTTTTCCAGAAAGGTCAAATAACTTGCCCCAGATCACAGAGTTGGCAGCTTTACCCAGTCTGGAGTGGCATGGTAATTTTGGTTATTGCCATATATATTCTTTTGCAAGGGCCACTGTAACAAAGTACCACAAACTGGGGGCTTTAAAACAACAGAAATTTATTGTCTCACACTTCTGGAGGATAGAAGTCCAAAATCAAGGTAACAGTAGGGCACATTCCTTCTGAAACCTCTAGGGGAATCATTTTTGCCTCTTCCTAGTTTCTGGTGGTTTGCCAACAATCTTTGGCACTCCTTGGCTTTTCGATGCATCAGTGCAATCCTCCATTTTCATGTGGTGATATCCCTGTGTATGTCTGCCTTCACACTGTCATCTTCTTGTAAGGACACCAGTCGTGTTGAATAAGGAGCCTAGCCTGCTCCAGTGAGACCTCATCTTAACTAATTACATCTGCAGAGAACCCATTTCCAAAGAACCTGACCCTTCCAAATAAGGAATTTATTTAACCCATGATACCGTATCAAATTGTTCTGAGACAAAATGGCACTCTCTTGGAATAAATTAACTTCCCCTTGCCTACATACAGGTAAAGATGTGTCAGTTCCTACATATAGAGGCCCAATTATTCAAAATAGGTAGGTCTTGACTGTTGGTTAAAGCTGTGATTGCAATTGTTACCGATTTCTAACTTCTCCACTTGGACTTGAAGTGATTGGAGTAATGGACGTACCGTCTGGAGATCTTGCTGTCCTAATGTGATCTCTCACAAATCCCTGAGCTTGCCCACAAGCCATCAGTTTATCTCTGTGTAGAGTGGGAAGAAGGAGGCTTCTCAGTGATGCAGTAAGCTAAGCCTTGGGTGGACCCCAAATCTACCACATCATATCTTAGTCAGCAAATGCATTTCTCAGGAGAAAGGCTCAGTGGAAATAACAGAATGTTACCATTTCTAATGAGGAACCAGAGTCCAAAATAGCTGATTTGACCTCACCCAGGAAGTGCACCCCCCCCCAACTTCCTCCAGACTTTTCTGGGCTCCACAGCTGCTGTAACCATGTACCTGCCCTGGGGTTGGCACCTCTGCACAGACTCCTGGTCTGTCATGGTCTGCAGAAAACTTCTCTAAACTCCTCTGTGAACAGGAGTGCAACCCCTTGAGGGATGTTCATATGAAGGAGGGGAATGGTGATAACAGCATCAGTTCAGATACTTTTACATGTTTTATATCTTTCTTATAAAAAGTGTCAGGGCCTTAGAGAATCACTAGAAGGCCCATTGAATTAATGTCAAGGCTCCCAGAAAAATGAAACTTAGGTCACACTAAAGACACCTTCATTTAGAGTTTGTGGTCAATCAAACAGAGCCTAAACTGAAATTTAATTTTGGCCTAGCAGTGAGGATTTGCTAAGCAAATTAATGCTGGAGTGTAAACAAGGCTTCTTGAGTGGCCTAAGAGCCTTTAAAGGACAACGTGCTTTCAAGGCTTGGAAGTAGTCCTTTTACATGCTAATTACAATTCCTACAGTATTTGTGAAAGCAGGTCTCTCTGGGATTTCCATTAGCCAACAAGCTGTTTATTTCTAGTTTAACAGGGGTGGAGGGGCTATGAATTATTGAGTAGCTACTATGTGTTTTGCCTGTGCTGGGTGGTGAGAGATTGTTTATCTTCACAACCATCCTTGGAGCTAAGCTTTGCCCTAGTTTGCACCTGTGGAATGGAGATCTGTCTGGAAGTGCAGCGTTGGTAAGTGATGGAGCTGAGATTCAAAACCAGGTGAGCCTATACTCTAGAACTCATGCACTCTCCTCCAGCATGTTACCAAATTTTCAATGTAATGTCTGCTTTTCTCTAAAGTATATTTTCAAATTCAGTCCTCTCAATATTTCAGAATGGCCTGTCCCTAATTAGCTCAAATTAGCTAGCTTTTGTAAACCCTGTTTTCATTTCAGTAATGAGGAAAATGAGGCATTCAGCCAAGAAGCAAACCCGTTGAAGGAGAGAAAGGTTGTGGCAGGTCTGAGCTAATAAATCCTAGTCTATGGTGCTTCCTGAGACCTACCAAGTCCTCTGAAAGAAGACAAGATGGAAAAATCACTCCCTCTTTGTTATATATTTTTATCTTTTGTAAAGACGTGTTTTCATCACTAGTAGGAGAGACTGCCTTCTGGCCTTAGCTAGCACAGAAATTGTTGTCAGATGATGCCAGTGAAGAAGCTGCCCTAGGAGGTCTAATAGACTTGGGAAGTGTAATAGGTGATGCTGCATAGATAGGTCTAATGCTTTGATTGTACCCCTTTCCAGTCCTGCTGTCACTCGCTACTAAGATCAGAAAAACTGACAAAATGTTGGGAAATAAGTTCATGTTTTCAGAAATGCTACAAAGCCTCCCTCTCACCCAATGTCTACAAGTCGCATCATAAGCTTTCAGCTTAGACTTATTTTTAAAGTATATACAAAACACATTTTAGTGGAATTAGAAAATTAGGGCTTTTGACCCAGAAATGAAACAGCTGTTGATTTCTGGGCTGCTCATCATTAGACGAGAACACATCACAGCAAATTCAAACTCTCTAAGGCACAATATTAAACCTACATGTAGCTCATGTGCCAAGAGCTGCCCAGCAGCACATAATGCATGAAATAAAACAGGTTTCAAACAATTACAAGACACAATATATAAATCAAGACTTTAAAATATTTATTAATGCTGAATTTTTTTTATTGCAAAAAATGCTTCCAGAAAAATAGAGATATGTCTCTTATTACCCATAAGACTGGCTGTTTGGATGCAAATAATCTTAACTGCTTGCACACTCACTGGTAACCCTTTCAGCTAAGGAGCCATTCAGTCTCAGCTTCAAGTGCAGAGGAAGTGCAAATAACCCCTGCACTTCAAAGCACAGCTTGCTTTGCTAGGAGACAGTTGAGCAAAATCCCAGCTCGGCTCTGATTCATTCTGCCTGCTGATTGGTTGTTCCCCTGGCCGCTGACATCATCCTGTTGCTGGGTGGAAAACTTCTGCGGCACAGCCCTCAATACTGACTTCAGATTCTTGTGAAGAGGACATTGTACTCAACAGCCAAATCAGATTATAGCTCAAATGGAATTAGAAGATCTTTTTTGTATGGTCGCTTCAGTCATCTTATGCCTCTTAAATTATAGCATCCCCCACCCCATAATCTGGCAAATGCTTTTGTGTGGCATTCTGTCCTCCAAGCCACCCAACCCCCAACTGCTTCTAGAAGACAAGAGAATAAAAAAAGAATCTTGCTGTTTTTCTGTGACTGTAGATGGAAGATGTTTTACACATCTCCCAGATGGGGCTGGCTTTTGATTAGTTTATGTTTGCTTTTACCAACAGAATTAAAGTATGTCCTCACTTGCTGCAATGAATTCTGAAGTAGTCCTTAGGACTTTCTGTAATAAATGACTTTCTAGCTCTCATTTACTCTCCCAGCATTCTGTGAGGCACAGATAAACTGGGGAAGTGATGGCAAAGGCCAACTTGTCCATTGCCCTTTACAGTTTGCAAAGCACTTTTTATATATACATGTCTCATAGGTCCCTCCCAACAGTCCTATGAATTAGGTACTATCACCCATTTTATCATAAGAAAACAAGTCTCCAAATATTAATTCTTTGCCAGCCACAAAGCTCATAAATGACAAGGCAGGACTCAAACCCTGGCTTTCTGACCCTAGTTTCTGAACTCCTTCCACTCAGACATAGCATCTTTCAGCCCTGGGAGGCTGAGCAATTTGCAAGGGCCAGTCCAAAGGAAGCAGATAACCAGCCTCAGGACCCAGCAATTCTTGTTCTCCATCAGAGGCCTTTTTTTCTAAACCCTCTTGGTAGCTCTCAAGACAACATTAGGAATGTTCTTAGATACACATTTATTTTAGAAATCTCTAGGCTTTCACAAGCTTTTACTGATTAAGTGCAGCTTTGAGGAAAAAAAAATAAAAGCCTAATAATTCAGATGCACATTTGCATATGTTACATAAGGCTCCTATAAGGGATAAGATTATCCAGTTGCAGGCTTATTTTAAGTTTTAATGGAATGACTTTGACAGAGCAGAAATAGCAGGCTTAGTAAGCAGCTCCGGTAACTTCGATGTCAGAGACATTTCCGCAGCGGAGCAGCGGATAGCGGGGCTCCTCCTGCTCTCTCAGGAGACACTGGATTGCTCTTGCTTATCTCTGGCTGGGATGATTAACCACCCCTTTGCTTGGCTTTCATCTTGCCTGGCACAGCTTTGTCTTTCATCTCATTCATTGCACCAAGCCCTTCCTCTCTTCAACTTTTAATACACATTCGAAATATTGCAGCTTCCCTAAGTTATTTTTACATAAGCAGAGCAAAAACACATGGATTTACTCTGCTGCGGAGCCTGCCGCAGCTGGTTTGCTCAGGTGAAAACAATACTCCCTCACAACAGAAGAAGAAAAGAAAAAAAAAAAAATACTCCCTCGCCCATCCTTATTTTTAATGGAGACAGAAAATCCTTCAACAAAGGCTTAGGAGACTAACATGGTGGAGGAAAGGAATGAGAGAGTGAGGGGCACAGATCACTCGTGCATGGAGGTGTAGGCTTTTATTTTCTCTTTTGATCTTTGAGACTGCAGCCTCCAAACACATAGCACTGTGACTTATGTTTCACGATGTAAACAGCTGATTTCATGCACTTTGCATGCTTCTCTCATTTTCCCAAAGTTGCCTCTTTGCCCTTCGGGGACGTTGTGGGGCCGTGATCCTTGGGTCTCCTGCTTCCTGTGTGTGACTTAGGCACACACAGATCACTCTCCATTTCAGCAAAATGTTGTCTCTGAAACTGGCTTCATTCCACACTGCTTGGATCTTCATAGTTTCACTGCCTGTGGAAATACAGACAAACTCACTGATATTCTGTCTTTCTGTGTTATTTGAAGATAACAATTTGTCATATTGAAAAATAGAATCTTTGTCTGATATCAATTCTCCAGGGTGAACCTGGGCAGTGCTCATGTCCAGCTCCCCGCCTTTCTGTTCGGTGGCTGCACCTTTGCCCCTGCTGTTCTTTTGCCTGAAATGTGTGTCTTTAAAAATGACACAGAGTTAGCATTTAGTAAAGGTTTAAAAAAAATCCTATGGTTACATAGCTTGTGAGTGGCAGTTACAACTAAATTAGATCCCAATCTCATGTAATTGTTAGACAAAAATTTTATTGATAAGGAAACACACTAATACGGGTTTAAAAATGTATACAATATTCATTGCATTCAAAAGCTCCAGACATGACACCGTTCTCCTAGGAGTCTGGGACTTGGAACCAACCCACCCAGCCCCTTCTCCCACTCCACCCATCTCCTCTACCTATTTCTTTGCACTGGAAAATTTTGCCCAAAGTGATAGAGCAAAACAAGTCCACAAACAGACATTATGTTCCAAGCTACATGATCTCCGAGGGCACTTCCAGCACAGTATTCTATGTCTTTGCAAAATTGTGTGCTGGGTTAAGAGTTCAGGCTCTGGAATCGGGTCTCATCCAAACCTCAGCTCTGCAACACACCAGCAGACCTGGAGGAGCAATGGAAGCCAAGCTAAACATGGGGATGATTTGACCTTCCTCCTGTTTATTTCTTTATATATATATAGTAAATCAAGGAGAGTAATATACTTGTCTCCCATAGATGAAATAGGATAATACCTCTGAAGTCCATAACACAGAACTGGATGTGGGCTGTTGAAAAGTCCCAGTAAATCTTACCAAGTATTTCTGCCAAACTAATAGAAACTTGGGTATGGTAAGAATAAAATAAATCAAGGTAGTGAAGAATTAATGAGAGCAAATTTCAAAAAAGAATATCTGTTGTACCCATAGTTTAATCAAAGAAAAAAGTGAAATGTGCAGGGACAGACTGAAAAACTGTAAATTTCTCAAGATGATTAACGTGAAAAAGAAGATTTTTTTTTTTTTTGTCAATGAGCTTTCTCAAATTAAACCATGGTTTTTACTATATTTAGTATACTGTTAACTAGATAGTCCATAAAATTAGGGATTGGTGATAAGGTGATTATACACATCTCTTTTCTCCTGATTTCACTGCAGCATTTCTGGAATAATCTGAAGAGACTAAAAAAAAATCTATGAGAAATATCAGGAAACGCTCCCGACAGCAAAGCATATGATAGTGTAGAGCCAACTCCAAGGAGTGAATGCAAGTCCCAGTTACTTATCAGGTAGAGGTAAACTGGCTATAGACCCAGGAACCGTCTGCCAGGTTAAATTTTATATTTCAGTCCTTGAAATTTATCAAATAGCCTGGTAGTTTTGCACAATTTCTGCAAGTCCATACAAATTATGCAGGTTAAGGCACTGAACAAATGTTTATTGAATATCCATTCATGCACTGTGCTCAGTGCTTATAATAAGGTGATGAATAAAATGGCAGCTTCATACTGATCGGCAGATACATAAAATTATAATGTAATGTCATAAGTACTATGACGTTGGTATTCACAGGTGCTGTGCATGCCCATCAATAGGGCACTGATTTCTAGCTACAAGATAGGGAGACGTTTCCCAGAAAAAAACACTATATGGTACCCTAATCAATCACTAATCACGTGAAAGGGCATCTCTACTGCTGCCATGCTAAGGGGCTGAAGGACCCTCTGAGACCTGTCACCAATTTTTTAAGTAAGATTTTGGATTAACAAAAAGAAGGCATGTTCATCAGATCTGCACATAGCATAAGTTGGAAGAGAGAGCTAGTAGCAGGATTCAAAAAGATATAGCAGGCTGGGAGGATGGCCTGAAACCAAGAAAAATGTAAAATTTTGTATTAAAAAAATCAAATGTATAAGAACAGGAGGTGAAAAAACTGGTTCAGAAGCAGTCCATGTGAGAAGACACAGGGAATGATTAAACTGGAAATTCTTCTTGCTTTGACTATTAACTTCTTTAATGAAGCAAAATGTCATTACTAAACTCTAATATCCTTAAGGGCAGGGGTCACAACTTAAATATTTTAATAGCCTTCCCTTATCTAGCATAGGGCCTAATACAAAGTCTGTGCTCAATAAATCTTTCCTAAATTGAGTAAAAACTAAAAGTGCCTAAAGCAATAGGTCCACTAATGAACGGGTTGTGGTTAAAACCACCAGTGAAGGCTATGAAAACCACCAGAGAAGGTCTCCTCTTGGATACGGTCTTCCTGATACTGTTTTCATTTTCTTCTTAAATTAAAAATCAAAATCCTTTGCATGATTTAGAAGACTGGACCTGATGCTCATCCTCAAGCCCCACTTCCCACCATGCTTCTCCTGGCTCCCACACTGCTCCCGCTCTCATTCAGTCCCCCAAGGTCCTCGTGCCCCTTCCAGTCTGGACAAGTGCTGGTGTCTTTGCATGGAAGACCCCTCCCTCCAGTCCCGGCACGCACGTACACACACACATACATTTTCCACCAACTTTACCTGCTTTTATCGCGCCTTGTCTCTTTAACTTACTCAGGGAAACCTCTGAACTCACAGCCCAGTCTGGTCCCTCTATTTCATGCTCTCCCACTTCCCTGGCACTGATCACAGTCATTATTCAATGTAAACCATAATCAATGTTAATTATTGTTTCAAATCTGCCTTCTTGCTAGAGTATGAACTCTACAAAGGTAGGGACCTCAGCTGTCTTGTGTCTTTCTTTACCACTGTACTCCAAACACCTAGGTCATTTTTTTTCTCAAACTTTAACATGCCTATGAATAGTCTGGGGGATCTTGTTAACCTAAAGATTCTATTCAGTGGGTGTGGGGTGGGGCCTCAGAGCCTGCATTTCTTGCGAGCTCCCAGGTACTGCTGATGCTGCTGGTCCTCTGACCCACTTTGAACAGCGAAGGCCTGCAGCACAGCCTGCCCACTTGTCCTCACTGCCTTTAAACCATCCCAGCCTCAGAGATATTGCCATAAGGGAATCCCTCTGTACCTCTCTCCCAGATGATCTACAGGGTGTCTCCAAAGTCACCATGTATAGGGAAAATGGGAAATTCTAGCTAAATGTACCTTTATTTATAAAATATTCATTACAAAATTTTTCCTTTGTGTGGAGACTTTTGGAATACCTGGTAGTCTCTCAGCTAGACTTCCTGCCTCAGTTTCCTCAAGGTTCAGCTCCTGGGCCATATAACTTCAAAGTGTCATTCTAAAATGTAAACTTACTCATGTTGTCCCCCTTCTTTAAAAGATTTAGAGACTCCCTGTCAATTGTAGGAAAAAAATCTAAGTTCCTCAGTACAGAGTTCAAGGCTTTATCATGAGATTATCCCCAAATATTTTTCTGGTTATACCTCTTTTGTACCCCAATCTCACATCCTACACTCCTGCTTTATCAAAGGTGCTGCAGTTCCTTGAACTCACTAGGCTGATCCATTCCTCCTTACTGTTGCTCAGGGCACTGACTCGCCATCCACTTATCAAATGTCCACACTCCTCTCCTTATTCACTTCTCTTGTGTGAAAAGCTCCTTAGGGATTCTCCTCTCCAAAGAGAATTGGCCACTCCCTCTTTGGGACCTGCTGTAGCTCTCTGTGTTGTACTGATTTATTTACATGGCAGCCTCCTAAACAGCCTCATCCATCCTTGTCACCGTCATGCCTGGCACATGGCTGGCACTTAAGAAATGTGTAACACCAGTGGATGAATGTTATCATGCTCTGCTCCAGATCCATATCTTAAAGGAGATGATTTGACACAGTGGAGTCCTTCTAAAGAAAGACCAGCAGTATTGGTCCAGAATAGCCGTGAAATGAGAAACAGTTCAAAGAATGCTCTAAACATATAGCCTGGAGAAAAGATGTATCCACACATAGTGGGTGCTCAATATTTATTGAATGAAAGAATGAGCAAAGGAGTCGTAATTGCCCTATTAATAGGGAGGGATCAGAGTGAAGAGAGTTTGAGTTATCTGTAGCTCCAGAAACTAGAACATTGTATCAAGGCCAGCAGATTGCAGTCCAATAAAATAATGAGTTTCTTAACCAGACCAAGACCTACCAAACTTCACTTCCTCTAAGAGCCAACTTAGTGATCTCTTTTTTTTTTTCTTTTTTTTTTTTTGAGACAGAGTCTTACTCTGTTGCATGGGCTAGAGTGCCGTGGCATCAGCCTAGCTCACAGCAACCTCAAACTCCTGGGCTCAAGCAATCCTTCTGCCTCAGCCTCGCAAGTAGCTAGGACTACAGGCATGTGCCATCATGCCTGGTTAATTTTTTCTATATATTTTTAGTTGCCAATTAATTTCTTTCTATTTTTAGTAGAAATGGGGTCTTACTCTTGCTCAGGCTGGTTTCGAACTCCTGACCTTGATCGATCCTCCCGCCTCCGCCTCCCAGAGTGCTAGGATCACAGGCGTGAGCCACCGCACCCGGCCTCTTTCTTTTAAAAATATAAGAACTAAGTAACATAACAGCATAGTCCCTCTAGTATTATCTTTGTGGCAAATAACAGAACAAATAAAGTTGTGGGTGATTTATTGCCTCTAATGGTGTCATCGAGACCCTCTATGTGTCTCTCTTTCTCTCCCACCCCCGACCTTCCCCTCTGTGGCTTTAGTGTAGAGGCCCACAGGTCCAGCTCATTTCTCCCTAAAGCAAAGAAAGGACAGTGTCCTGCACCCACACAGATGCTCCTCCGGCAAGACCAGCTGGGAGTGTGGTTGAACAAAGAAAGCCTCATGGCCCCAGGTAAATGTTGTCCCTGGAGGGAGGAACAGAGAATCACATACCAATACTGGACCCACTGCACCTGGGGGAGGAGACCCTTATAGCAGGAGGACAAGGACAGGGCCGAGCATAAAGGAGGGGGCAATTTCCCAGACCCAACTGGCTAAGAGTTTCCCAAAGGAAGGCAAAAATAGCAGTTATCCACTGCAGCCTGACCCAGTGTTCCTATTCCAAAACTTACAACTACATTTACAATGTATCCAGCACTACATCTACACGTGATATAAATTCAGTTTACAACCACTGATTACTAAAAACTCTTGAGCAATGCAACCCACATTTTACTAACCTGACAAGAATTCATTATTTCTATGACATAGAACAGAAGACTTTTCAGCATTGGAAATTTCTTTATTCATTTCTTCCCCAAAATTATTGTATTGAGGATATCATGATAAGGAAAACTGTCCTCATGGAGCCTATAATCTCATGGAGAAGGCAGCCACATAAAAAAAAACAATCACAAAGCAGGTGATAAGTACTGTGAGAAAATAATCTGTATCCATCGTATTGTATCAAGAATACAAAAAGAAAAAGTAAAACAGTTTAAGCAAACTCCTTCATGACTAAGTACCAGTTTGGGTTGAATTAATCTCAGTTTTTCCCCCAGCATACCAGAAGAAAAGGTATCTACTTGTTTTGCAGTGCTCAGTTTCAAATTTAGCAGACTCATGAATGTAACGTTGCAGACGTTGAAATCTACACCTTCAGAAGCACAGAAAACACCACAGATTACTTCGGGTCAAATTAGTGGCTTCTATCAATGGTTGTGGCTGTAAAGAATGAAAAAAGAAGAAAGTGAGATTGTCAATGTCTCAAATACTGCACCATTCAGTCCCTTACGTCACCCACATCTCTGATTCTCGTCCTCAGTTTCACTTACCTTTTTCAGGTTGATGCTTTGAACCTTTGTCAGGATCCCACAATGTGTATGGCCTCTCTGGGGTCACCTTTGCTGTGGATATTCTATTTTCCATTTTCAGTGACATGGCATACTGCTCGTCCTTCAGGATTTGAAGTTAATGAAAAGTTTGTATGATCCTTACTCCTTTCTCGAGCAGAGAATAGCAACACTTTATCTTACTTGCCTCGCCAGCCATGAGCATATATTTCAGGTTAGTTCACACTGGAATAATGACAGTGGTAGCTGAACTACAAAGCTCACCAGAACTCTGATCTCTGCTTTTCACCTGGTTTTAAAACACTTTCCCACTGCTTGTTAACATCTTGGTTGCTATTGTTAAGTAGCACACTGTATTTACAGTGAGTTGAGAAACATCAAGAAAACTGTTCTGGGTGGCGCGTGGTGGCTCACACCTGTAATACTAGCACTCTGGGAGGCTGAGGTTCGAGGATCTCTTGAGGTCAGGAGTTAGAGACCAGTCTGAGCAAGAGCGAGACCCTGTCTCTACTAAAATAGAAAAAATTAGCCAGGTATGGTGGCATGCCCTTGTAGTCCCAGCTACTCGAGAGGTTGAGGCAGAAAGATTGCTTGAGCCCAGGAGTTTGAGGCTGCAGTGAGCTATGATGATGTCACTGCACTCTAGCCCAGGTGACAGAGCAAGACTCTGTCTCAAAAAAAGAAAGAAAGAAAGAAAGAAAGAAAGAAAGAAAGAAAGAAAGAAAGAAAGAAAGAAAGAAAGAAAGAAAGAAAGAAAGAAAGAAAGAAAGAAAAAGAAAGAAAGAAAGAAAGAAAGAAAGAAAGAAAGAAAGAAAGAAAGAAAGAAAGAAAGAAAGAAAGAAAGAAAGAAAGAAAGAAAAAGAAAACTGTTTTGGATTACTTTGTTACCTCTCTTGTAAGAAGCACAGATGTGCTACCCTCAGGTGACCTAAAAGGCAATGGGTTCCATTGTAATTGCTGGCCCACATTGTGGGCCCAGCTGGACTGACATTTTAATTTCTACATCTTTTGTGGCTTCCATTATCCTGGGGGCCAAGGTATAAACGTGTCTGGAATCACAATTTGTGGAAGGTTAGTAAAATTTTGGAACAGGGCCAGGACCATTCAGTGCTTGGGATGGATTTCTTGGAGTCTCTCCAAATGTATGGGTTGTCCATTTGTGCCATGTGGCCAGACTTGAGTGTAGAAGAGAGAGTTAAGACAAAATTAAGCTTACTACAGCCTAGCTGTGCAATGGCATAAAATGGATGTGAACGGAGAGGCTTGCTTCTGTGCTTTAGAAGACTGGTTCCATAGAGGAATGCTGCTTGAGAGTGGCTTTAGGATGCTTAGGAAGCAGTTACTATATAAAGGATGATTTAAATGGAAAATGATGGCTAAGACTGAAAAGGCTCTGGTTCTTGGCAAATGTTCCATCTCCCGAAAGGGAAGTCAATTCTACATAATGACTAAAAGCAGGGCATTTTGGTTCAGCCTGGGTTGATATCCCCGCTCCACCATATATCAGCTGTATGACTTTGAGAAAGTTAACTAACTTACTTCTTAGAAAAGCAGCAGTATTATGAAGTTTAGGGTTAAATGATTTAATATAAACGTTTAGCATGATGCCTGACACATAAGAAGTATTCTGCCAAGTCTTATAAAGAAACAGTCTACTTAAAAAAAAACAACAGACAATCTAAAATATTATAATCCAGAGGTTTTAAAGGTTTTTTGGGGGTCTCAAACTACCTTAGGAATTTGATAAAAACTATGGATCCTTTGCTCCTGGGGGGGATTGCACATATACAAAATTTTTGCGCCTAGTTTTAGGAAATTAAAGATATAAGGCAGTACAATAATAGATTTGAGATTAAGATCTTTTGTTCTAGGTCTAGACCTACTCCCAAAAGAGGAAAAAAACTTCACAGTTTCATTTATTGTTATATAATATTTTGATCATTTATAACCATAATCTCATAACTTTTTTAATTTGGAAGGGATCTTATCTAGTCTAAATTCCTTGTTTTATTTATTTTGTTTTGTTTTGTTTATTTTTTTAGGAATAACAGTACTAAGGTCCTGAGAAAATACTTGATATGTCAGGTAAACAGAGAATTCTTTACTAATTTTGCATTTCTATAATTAAAAACATAAATTTTCCCTTATCTGCCACCCTTCATGTATGAGATATTCCTTAAATTTTACTATAGTTCTACTTAGTTCCTAATGCTGTTCTCTGAGATACATTTACAGCCCTTGGAAATTCACGTTCATTCAAAGGCCCATGATGGATATAAGGATCATTTTTTTCTGTATATTTTAATTAGCATATTGAAATCTACCATGTCATAACCAGTTGATATTATGCTATTTAATGAAAAGAGCCTTATTCAGTGCTAGAGTAATAAATTAACCAAGACTTAGTGAACGCCTACACTGGGAGAGGCTCCATTCCATGGCACCTGGAATACATGATTGAACAGAACCCAGACAGAGACGTATGCCTTTATGGAGCTTACAGCCTAATAATGAAAAATTGTCTTTCATTCAGAATAATATGGCTGGGGTTGAGATTTTATCCATGGACAGGGCCAGAGGTAACCTGCAAGTTTTTAGCCATGAGAATGTCACCAATATCACCATTCCCACCCCTCCAGGACACCTGCCTTCATTTGCCTAAAAACAGCTGATTCAGCATGGGCAGCATTAAACATAAAATGATAAAAGTGTGTGTAGGCAAAGCCCCACCCATAATTTACCCCTGGCAGGAGCGTAAACTACAGGTAGCAAATAGGTCGTGTGTAGGTAAGTCATCAATCCCTAGGCTTTTCACTGCAAAACATTTTTAAGCTTTTCTACTTTGCTATCAAGATAATTTGGGTGACTTTTGAGGAGAATTTAAAGAATAGAGCAAAGGTACTGGGGTTAAGCAGTTTGCTCTACTAACTCAGAGGGTGGCAGGAAAGAGGGCAGATGATGTGGAAAGAAGTAGATTAATAGAAGCGGTAGGAGACTGGACGAGGAAAAATCAGAAGTAGATCAGGTAAGTGACAGTGCCAAAGGCAAGAGACATTAAGAGGCCTTGCAGTCATGTAATATTGTTGAAACTGCTTATGGGAACCCAGAAGCAGTGGTGACACAAAATCAGAAAAGCTGACATGTCATTGGGATCCACAGGCTCTGTGGAATCCACTTGATCTCACTCCAGAATAGGGGCTGAATGACATTGCTGAAGCTCTGAAGGTAAAGGGCAAAGACAACAAAATGCTGAGCTGGCTCAGGAGCTGCTAGGATGTGGCTCCAGCCTCTGCTCCCCGAAAGCTGTTGCCCTAGGTAGGGGAACCGACTGCTGGTCTTCATTCTGAAGCTGCTTTGGGAAGCACCAGGACTACAGAAACTATGTTACCAACACACCAAGGCATCTCCCGTTCCCTTTGCTTTTCCCATACAGAAAAATCTTACCCCTCTTTGTTGCCTTCCACATCTAGAGCCTAGAGCCTTATCCTTGTTTGGCTAAATATACTCCCTAGTTCTTTGTAAAAAGGGGAGAAACACTTATCAATGTTCTCAGGGGCACTGAACTCAGACTTTTCCCCTTTTTTCTGAGATGCTAAGCACTATACGGGAAAGGCAGAAATTATATTCACGACATCTGAGGAAGGTACAATCAACCTCGATGAGTTGCATCATTAGCTGAAGAGAACAAAATCATTTACTTGTGACCTGGTAATGCAGTGACATTTTTCACATGCACTCAAAATTCATAGGCCACAATATTTTTGGCAGATGACTTGCTTATCTCTTCTCCCAGTGAAAGCTTTGCTGGACAACAGTATAAATATCCTGTAGCCTGGGTCCTTAGTGTTGTAAACAACCAGGAAATAAATAAGGCATTTTGCCTGATAACCAAGGCAGACTCACAAATAGGCTTCTATAGACACAAGACAATCACAAAAGGCAAAGAAGGCAGAACTGTGGTGCTCAGTACATGCTTACATACCCTACCCATTATTCCACCCAGAGGACCCTCTCAGCCCAGCCCTATATTTATTAAAACCAGAGCTGGTTATAATATGGTTATTTTATAATATTATAAACCATTTATAATATGGAGCTTGCTTGAGTCTTATAGGATACATTGGGTATATTATCTTTTGTATTTTGTTCATGTCGCAAAAGGTAGTTGCTTCCTGCAGAGTAAAACCAGGAATCACTGTCATTGCTGGTAGGCAAAGCTCTTGAAATATTCCAAAGCACTCTACTGCAGAGTTTCAGCTCTTAAATGGGAACAATATTTTCTTTTCATTAACTGGCAAATTGTAATTTTTCAGTTAAAAGGTTAAAGAATGAGCTTAGCTTTAGCTTAGAAAAGAGAATTTATGTAGAGCAGGACACATAGAGATATATGTACATATGTGTGTGTATACACATACACTCACCTGTATATACCTGCAAATTCAAATTCTAGAGAAGACCATCTTTCTTCATCTAGAGAGAGATTAGAATGAAGGATACATTCATGTCATTTAATTTCTCCAGCCCTTAGCTTCTTCATTATTCAACAGTATCACAGACACAGCTCTTTATCTTAGCATGTTATTGGATAGACTAACTAATAGAAGACAAAAATGTACTTTGCAAACACAAGTGCAATAAAGATGTTTAATGATAAACCTTGCATGTTATCAAGTACTTGAGGCCTTTTTAAATCAAAACAAATTGTCTTGGTAAATGGTATTAGGTAACCCAAAACATTAAAATTCAAGTAAATTTCAATTGCTATTGAAAAAATACATTATTGTTGTATGAAATCTTTTAAAAATAATACAAACAGCTAACATTTAAGTCCTCATAATAGGAGGGTCACTGTTCTAAGCACTTTACATATATCTTTTCATTTAATCCTCACAAAAAACCTATAAAGTACTAAAAAACGAAGTTTGAAGAGTTTTTGAACAGTGACTATACAATATTGAAGTAAAAAAATGACAAAAAATTTTCAACTTCACCCTTATAGAAGTCTTAGGCAATACATTTCAGGTCACAGCTAAATTTACACTTGCATAATGAGAATGTTTCCATTTGCTTCCATTTCTGGGCATTCTAGTTCCCCATAGACATGTGAATCTCTAGACGTTCATGACTTCACTGAGAAATAGAAAACGCAAAGTGACAGGTCTTGTATATCCAGAAATAACAGTAGTGCTATCTCATCAGGAGCAAGGCCAACTCAATCACAACCCACCTAGTGTTGCCCAGGAAGATCATTTTCTTTTCTTCACCATACCTGAGACCATGACCCCCATGGGCAAAGTGAAGTACCTTCTTTATTCTCCAAGAGCTTAGCAAATCCTAAGAACTATTTCACCTCTCAAACAAAAAACAAGTTCAAGGGTTGCTGAGTTCAACATGAGCCCAGTATAAACAAGAGGGATAAGAAAAGAGAGAGAGAGAGAGAGAGCGATTGAGAAAGGGAGAGAAGAATCAGTGCCTCCTGCAGAGATGAGGAATATGATACAAAGGAATGGAAACAAGGAAAAGTCCAGATCTACTGTGATTAGCTGAGATCAGCTCCTCTAAAGATAGTGATCGGGTCTACAGAAACGTATCAGTTAGTTGTTCAGGCACATTCCACAACTGGTGAGTTGACTGAAAATAAAACATTTATACACATGTTTATATTTCCCAAACAAAATGACCTCTTAGTTTATACACCTAGTCCCTTAAACACCTATACTCTTTAGACATCAGTGAGCTTTCATTTGCCTCCTGACACATAGGTGCCTCCTTCACTTTATCTCTGCCTCAATTGCTTAGTTCTTAAATGGAAACTATTGAGGAAATTTAACTTTGATTTTTGTTTGTACTTTTTTCTTTTATCTTTTTGGTTCATAAACTCTGGGAAATCATTAAACTGGGCCTGCAGGCATTAAGTCTGAATGAAGGATACTGAGGGGAAAGGGAGACAGCCTTTGTCTCTCAAAGTTTTCTTTACTAGCAGCTGATGGCATAGACGTATTAGCATTACTTTAACATTAAACATGGAGAGGAGAAGCGGTTTGGGTAATACATTACTGATCGACTCTTCTCTAACTTGGAACAGAAAAAGGCTCTAAAAAGTTTGAGGTTTTTGCAGAGCAGAACTTTCTTAATGAAACATGGGCTGTAAGAATTTTGATGTGTAAAAGCTAAAATTGGGACTTTCTGGCCCAGTGAATTCTAGTTTTTTTTTTTTTTTTTTTTGGCATGTCTGACTTTCACATCCAGCTACTAATAAAAAATAAGGGGAATATTTCATTTTTATAAGTGCTTGACATGGAAATGAAGGAAGATTGTATCAGTCAGTTTCTTTTGGTTGTAGGAAACAGAGTTATAACATGTAGAGTACTTCACAAAATTAGCAGTGGGAGGAGATTAGACTGGTGAAGGAAATTATTACAAGGATACACAGGGACTGGAAATGGAAAAACACCAGAATTTAAGGAACTCTAAATACCAGTGTCTTAGCATCTTTTTTTTTTTCTTTCTGTGCCTTGCCCCATCCTCCCTCCCTAACCAGCTTTCTCACTCTTTACTCTCTATCTGTTCTGTTCCTTCTTAGTTTTAGTTTGCATATGGTTCATGACATCCTCTCTCAATCTGACTTTGCTGCCAACTGGCTTAGTATCATAGCTTCTCAATGCCAAATTTCTAAGAAAGGAATCTGATTGGCCCAGATTATCATTTGAAGCTAGTCCTCACAGATGGATGGCTAGGTTACAGAATGTCTCTCCTTGAGTCAAGAGTCTATGCCTCGGTCAACTCATAGGAGATGAGGGGCAACCATGTAGTAGATTATTTAAAATGAGCCACCAGCAGAAAGATTCACTTAGAGGAGGATCTGGATGGGATAGGTTAATATAAACATCTTGAGATTGCTGGCAGATTATGTGGAAACCAGCTTGTTCATCTTCTTTCTTAGAGAAGCTAATCCCAGCTAATTGCAATAGACCTGGGCTTGCCTTGGTACAGCATATGAAAGTATTAGTAGCAACAGTACTTCTTCCCTTTATTTTTTTCTTTTAACTTTATCTCCGCCATATCCATCACTTCATCCCCATGACTGGCCAAGAGCCTGGGAATTTTCAGACATATCTCAAAACATTGGAAATTTTAAGTTAGAGTACCAACAAAAGTACTTTTATTATCCCAAAATCACCCAATTGTTTTATTGTAGACTAACATGCCAGTGGGCAATAAAATATTAGAATATGGAATAATGGATACTCCTTTGCCTACTCTCATTGCATTTATTTCAATAGGTATCCAATTGACAAAGATGCCCAAACTATCTTTGGTGAGTGCATGAGAGATTTAATCTAGTGGACCTTATAGTTTGATAACCTAACATAGACAATTAGTTCAAAAAATATTTTACAATAATGACTGATGGAATAATGCCAAGGTAAGATTGTATAACACTGTAAATGCTGGTGGCATCAAGCAAATCTTGGTTCAAATCAGAGCTCTGTCTTATAATAATTGTGTGACTGTGACCAAACTTTTAGTCTTCACAAATCATATGTACAATGGAGATAATAATAACTACTTCATAGAGGTGTTATAAATATTAGACAAGATAATGTACATAGATTATTGCATGACTATTGCCATATACTAAGTATTCATTAAATGATAATGGTTGTTTCTATTACTATATCTATGATGATTACTATAACTATTTTGAGGATTATGGGAATTAGAAAATATAAATTAGAAATATGAGGGTTAACTTTAAGCACACAGTATCAGGGAGATAATATAGATGCACTTGTTAGAAATGGTACATACATATAAGTTGCACATACACAAATGGAACTCAGCAGAGTGGTGGGCTAAGTGAGAAAACCTAAGTGTGAGATTATAAAGTTAAGTGATACTCTTGAATCAGAAAAAGGAGGTTAAAATTCTGGTGAATTTTTAATAGGGATAATGCCCCTTAGAAAAGAAATGAGGGATTGCACCCAGCATGAAAGTTTGTCTACTGCAATGTAAAAGGCCAGTATTCATAGGAGTTTTGTAATTGGAACATGACTTATATAAAAAGGGGGAATTGAAACATTAGGAAAGGACCTTCTGGATGGAATACCTGGCAGTCACTGTCAGAAACCAGGGGTAGCCCACTACTTCGGTTCATGTTTCACTTCCTCAGAAAAGCCTAGACTAGGTTACATCCCCTGATGTATGTTCCCTTCCTGTGTTGTCCCTACTTACTACACATGGCATTATTTGTTTAAAGTCTATGTCCATCTTCTCTGCCAGGTTATACGTTCTGACTCCCACGTTCATCATTCCATCTCCATAACTAGCCAAGTGCCTGGCACATGGCAAGCACTCCACAAACATAGAATGCTTGAATGCATGAATGCAAGAATGACTTAAGTAATGAACGTGGAATTAGGAGGTGATTTCATCATATACTGTTCTGTATTGTTCTCTAGTATTTATAGGGGTTAATCCTGTCTTCCCGTTGACTTTGTAATTGCATTGAAACACAGCAAGAATCCTGTATCACATGTCTCAACACTACCACTGAGAGGCATCCAGTTACAGACATGAATGCTCAAAAAAATCTTTCTGAGCTCATTGTTAATAATCCTTTTTTCATTCCATTCTCCATTTTCTATTTATTGTCTGTACAAATGCAGAGATTATACTTCAGTCTCACTATTAGATTCTAAGCCTGTCTTTTGCTATTTTTATTACTAGGACTTACTACTTTGTAAGGCTTCAATAAATAAATGAGTAAATAAAGGAATATTTGGACAGTGTGTGTGTATATATATTTATATGTTTATAAATATACACATATATATATTTCAATGCATCCAAACTTGTAGCCTTCCAGAATCTTACAAGTTGCTGTTGTGATTCAAGCTTGCAATTCACTTGGGAATGCATCCTCTCAAGCCAACATTTTATCTTTGAAATTGCTATCTTTGTTGTTATCATTCATATAAGTTTCAAAAGTTTCTTCTTGCTAACAAGACAAATCTTACATTTGCACAAAAATATGTTTATAATTTTAAGACAATTTGGGAACTTTTGTTGGTAATAACAATATGTTCACTTGATTTCAAGTTAACAGGTTCTGATATATCTAATCATTTCATCTAATGAGCTTTTGGGAGCACCTCTTAGATTCTAACTACTGGAAATATTCAGATAAATAAGAATTGCCCCTGAATACGTCAAAGTCTGGATGTGCCATAGTCACATTCACATTCAGGGAATCTAAAAGGTGAAATGTAAACTGTTCCCTCTAATGGCCTTTCAATCCCACCTCAGTCCTATGTGTTGATTTCCTACAAATCCCTTACAATTGAATACTGCTTTATCTAAGACTTCTAAATCACCAAATTATAATTCCTCTCCTCTGTACTCCCACTAACTAGATCCAATCCCCTTACTCTCATGTGGATTTTTCTATTTTATTCCTCCATTCTCCT